AGGCTTCCTATATGCAAAAGAATTATATATATGTATGTATAATATTATGTATATATATATCTTATTTAACCTTAACCTTCAAATTATCTACAGATTGAAAAAAATTGAGCCATAAAAGATTATTTTCTCTAGTGTCATGACAACAATGAATAAAGGTTTGAACAGCAACTCAAAAACATGCATCTCGGGCTAGGAAGTTGGCTCAGTGGTAGAGTGCTTGCCTTGCATGCATGAGGCCCTGGGTTCGATTCCTCAGCACCACATAAGCAGAAAAAAAAAGACGGAAGTGGCGCTGTGGCTCAAGTGGTAGAGTGCTAGCCTTGAGCTGAAGAGTTGAGGGACAGCGCCCAGGCCCAGAGTTCAGGCTCCACAACCGTACCCCCCCAAAATACAAATGTGCATCTCTCTGATGCTAGTGCCACCTTTTCAACTCGGCCACATTCAGTTTTCAAGGACTCTGTGCTTTTGAGAAGCAAGCACAGGGATCTGATAGCATTGACTGCTTGCTGGAAAGGTTCTCATATATAATCTGCCGCTTTGACTCTCCAAGTGTAGCGAAGTCCTGAAGCCCTTGAACCATTCCAAGATTATTATGGTAATAACAACAAAGTGTTACTGGATTTCTCACGGCCCTGACCTGCACCATGATGGTACGGAGCAGCAAGAGCTGGGAGTGGGTGGGCCCTGGTTCCACATCAGGGCAGTGTCAGCAGAATCCGAGGATGGTGGGTGTCTTCTTCATTAATCTTCTCACACTAGGAAGAGAATACTCCGCTCACTTATGAAGGTCTTTGATGAAGTTGCAGAACTTATGGAAGCAGCGGGCTGTGGGACATGACCCCGTGATCCTGTGTGTGCCCTTTGGGATCCGTTGGGGGAGCAGGTGGAATGTCACAGAGACATCTCCCATGGGCAGGCAAGTGCCACTGCGGCCTGAGGGAAACTGTGTGAGTTGTTGAGTAAACTAGCCGTTTTGGAAGACAATCAGATAAGCAGGATTTCCCCCTCCCCGCCCAGATCTGGGCATTTGGCAGATATTTTCTTGAAAACGAGCCCAGTAAACTTGAAAATTTCCAGTAAAACTGTTAGCATTTCATGCCAGTGATAAAACTTGAGCTTGTGAATGAAAAAGAAAGCATTTCAGAAAACTTGTATCTTCCATAGCTGCCTACCAGCTCGCCAAGCAGAAGTTTTTCTGATGATAGTGATTGAGAGTGATAGTAACAAATGTTTGCGGTTGTATGCCGAAACACATCTCCATGTAGACCATTCACATTATCAATAATTCATTACTCAGTAATGAAGTCCTGGGTGGATGGATAATTCCTCTGTCTCTGCCCTGGCGTTTGCTGATTGCCTTCACCTGGCTGTGTGCGATTGGAGATGTTTTGATGGTGTCCTGGACATGCTGGCTGTCCCATTAGGAAGCTCTATGTGGTAGGTCTGTTTTAGCAGGGCCTGGGCCTGGTTAGATGGAGCATATATGTTCCGCTCTAGGCTGTGAGCTTTCGTTCCACTAACAGCTTCAGTCCCTGAGCCTTTGTGTGATGCTTTGGGTGCTGCCAGTTTGTGTTGAATTCCTGCAGCTGCTATGTGAGGGAGGGCAGCGCCACCCTGTGTGACCAGGCTCACCTCTGGACCTGTGCACCCCTCTGGATGGAAGGAGGGGAGACCACAGGCCTTGCTGAGCTGGCTCTGGTGTGGAAGGGGAGTCGGGACATCACAGGACTTCTCTGCTCCCATTTGGCAGAAGGGTGGGACAGGAATCCGCCTGTATAGGGGGTGTGGGAAGTTGTGAGGTTGTACTGCTGCTGCTGCTGCTGCTGCTGCTGCTGCTGCTGCTGCTGCTGCTGCTGCTGCTGCAGGCAGATCGCACCTCTGCCGGGCCCTGGTTGCAGAGCAGTAGCCCAGAAGGTCTGGAGCTTAGCCCTGCCTCTGCTGCCGCCCAGGGAATGTAGTAGTGGGACTTAGACCTCCCTTGGTTCACGGGTGGGTGGGATGCTGTTTGTTTAGCTTTCCTGGTCTTCTGGTCACAGGGAGCAAGCTTTCTTGACTGTTTTTTTTTTTAAGTTTAAAATGTTTAATTCTTGGTAGGGAAGTTAATAATTTTACAGTTGAGTCAGAGCAGACAGATATATTCAGCCTGACGGTTGATTCAGGGTAGAACTCTGGCACCTGGCTCTTTGAGCACTCTGGTGGCACACCACGGGAAGCTCATGCTGTTGGGTGTTCCAAAGATTTCACTGCGGAAGAGGCTCAGGGCCATGAGGTTTCTAAAAGTCAAGCGCTGTTCTCACTCACTCCCACTCCTGAGTAGAAAATGGAATTTATCCAAGGTCTGAAATGGTGAATGGCGCAAAGAAAAGTGATGCTTACAACAGTCCAATTTCCCACGAACATTTTTTTGTTCTTCCTTCTGATAATTGCACATAAAATCCAGTAGGAACCATTTGTCCACCCTTCAAAATTGTACTAAATAAGATATGTGATAAGTAGGTCACAAAATATAAATTTCTGGGAAAGACTGATAGCCCAGAGATACACAATTTCTTCCTTTTGTGACTGTTGGGAACTGATAATGTTTCCTCCTCGACCAAAGAGTGTAGCTCATTACAGTTTATTCACTAGAAAGCCAATACTTAGTATAAAGTACTTAAGTTCTCTTTCTTCTCCTCATCTTTCTTCTCTCTCTCCTTCCTTCCTTCCTTCCTTCTTTCCTTCCTTCCTTCCTTCCTTCCTTCTTCCCTCCTTCCCTCCCTCCCTCCATCTCTCTTTCTTCCTTCCTTCTTTCCTTCCTTCCCTCCCTTCCTCCCCCCTCTCTCTATTACTTTCTTTCTTTCTTCCTTTCTTTCTTCCTTCCTTTCTTTCTTTCTTCCTTTCTTTCTTTCTTCTTTTCTTTCTTTTTTTGGTAAACGACAAAAATACTGAGACATAATAAATTATACAGGTCTCTAGACATACATTCACACAGTGAGACAAAGGAGGGTATTCTCAGGAAATGATCACAAAGGTGTAATAGCTATGCGCATGTGATCATATAAAATAATATTTATCAAAATGAACTCCAAGAAATGAAAACACGAGGTTTTTTCCCTTTGTTGCTGTTTTTTTTTTAATTTTATTTTATTTGAGAACATACTGTACAGAGGGGTTACAATTACATGGGCAGGATAATGCATACATTTCTTACCAAGCATTGCAGCCTCCTCCTTTGTTTACCCTTCACATCCCTTCCCAGCCTCCCCCCTCCCCCCCACCCAATCATACCCCCCCCCACTCCGACATTGTAAAGCTGGTTTTGACATGACATTTTGTACTTCTCATTGTTGCAACAGGTCCACCTGAATCCTTAAACGACTTGTTTGTCCCCGTCTCCTCCACATGTTATACTGACATCAAATATTGTGAAAGCGGGGGTTACACTGTGGGGGAGGGACATAGAAAGCAACAAAGAAATAATCTTATAAATGCATTAGAAACACATGCATGAAAGAAACAAAAACATTAAAATACATATTTGAGGGTTCGTTTTCCTAACATCACATTATCTGACTTTTTCTGCTTGACTCATACCTATACTAGTTATTGCAAATAAGGGAAACCATGGGACCTATGCTTCTTTGGGCCTGGCTTACTTCACTTAATATAATTTTTTCCAAGCCTTTCCATTTCCTAACAAATGGGGAAATGTCATTCTTTCTGATGGAGGCATAGAATTCCATTGTGTATATATACCACATTTTCTTGCCTTTGTTGCTGTTTTTGTTTTCGGTACCTCTTGCCTTGTTTCTTCATTTATCTGTCTTTGGAGGATGGATGGGGACAAAGAAATGGTGGGATGAGGGTGAACAGATGCAGCACTGGTGCTCACCAGACACCGTGTTGAAAGTGAACTGCATAACTGTGGAAGGGGCTGAGAAGGAAAACCTGCGAGAGCGTGAGGGGAGGCGTGTCACTGTTCAGAAAGAAATGTCGCGTTACCGGATGCACGCAGCTGTAACCTCTCCGCACATCACCTTTACCACAACAATAAAAAGCAGATTTGTCTCAGCCCGCCTTTTAAAAAATTTCTCCATACATATTTTTAATTTTTAAAAATTATCTCTACAGAAGTGGTAGTGTGGCTCAAGAGGTAGAGTTCTAGCCTTGAGCATGAAGAGGCTCAGAGACAATGTCCAGGCCCTGAGTCCAAGCCCCACTACAGGCCAAAAAAAATTAGAAAAATAATCTTTAAGTAGCTGCCAATTTACAAAGCAGGTTTTGCATGTAATATATCTTGGCCCATATAACCCCTTTTAATCCATTCTTCCTCTACACACACCTTCCCTTGTTCTTCTTAATTTTTGTAGGATGCACATTGATGGGACTCTTGTCTGTATTTTCCTCTTCTTCTCTTCATTCTTCTACCATGTTCCCCTAGACCCCACCCCGCCCCTTTCAGCTTTCTGTGTCCTGGTATTTTCTTGTGCTGAACTGTGGTTTTGGCTTTCTGAGGAATTACACTATTTGTGATCTCCCTCAAATCTAGAGTATTTCAGTTAACTCATTGTTGTACACTACATATACCGAGTATTTATGAGTATGTAAGCTAAACCTAGATTCCTCATAGAAGGGAAAACATATATCCTATGTCTCTCTGGACTTATTTCACTTAACATCATTTTTTCCAAGTCTTTCCAGTTCATTTTTTTTTAATCCCTAGCCACAGGTTCTTGGTTCTAGTTTGGGGCAAGTAGAAATAAGAGCAAACCCGGGACTCAGCTCTATCAAACCAAACAGTCTCTCTTCCCAGATCCCTCTACCTGACAATTGCATTGTATCATTGAACGCTGAATAATTCCAGGGATATTTAGAGGAAAAGACCAAGAGAAATCTATCTTTATTTAGAACCTGCTATAACTGAGAATCTGAAACATAAAGATGACAGAACCAAGTTGAACAATATTCAATTTTGGCATAGACCATTACCATTCACAGTTCTATATTATATTTATGTACAGGAATTCTGCTGGAATATGAAAAAAGTGGAGAATTGAGGACCAAATCCATAGATTTGCTTGAGCTCAGTTCTAGGTAAGTCAGCTATAGGATGCAATATGTATTTTATATCAAAATACATGTCAGAAATGTTTACTGGGTGCTTGTGGCTCACATAATTCTAGCTACTTATGAAATTAAGATCTTGAGGATCAAGGTTCAAAGCTAGATAGAGAAAGAAAGTTTGTGAGACTCCATCTCCACTTAGCCAGCAAAATGCAGGCTGGAGGCATGACTCAAGTGGTTTGGAAGTGGTGTGGAAGAAAGTTGAATGAAGCCCTAGCAGTAGCACATAAAAGAAATGTTGGAGGCTGAGTGTGATGGCTTATTCTTGCAATTCTCACACTACAGAGGCTGAGGTCGGATTCTGGAGAGTTCAAAGCCAGTGAAGGCTAAATGAGACATTGTCTCAGTTTCTTTCTTTCTTTCATTTGGAAAACGCTGATAGCGTGATAGGCGGATGAGCTGTATATTCTACATTATTTTAAAAGTTGTTCTATGGTGTATTACCTCCTGCTTGTTTCAGTGGGCTGTACTTGGGGGTCTTGATGAGGAGATGGTGGTAAAAAGTAGTCATTCTAGAACATTCTAGCATCCTATTTACTTCTGCTCCACCCCATGCCATTTCCTGACTTGGGTGATTTTTTTCATCTCTCTGAGGAATCTCTTGAAGAACAAGATGGTACTTTTTTTAACAGTTTCTCAATCTATGTAATCTCAATCTCTATAAAGCTATGTAGTTCTGATATAATGAACATATATATGTGTATATATATAAGTAATTTCTAACATGCACACTGTTTTCTGGGTGATTTCCAGCACTGATGTTGGGGCCTTGGTTGAAGAGATACAGAAAGTAGAGCCCCTGATCACAACATCGAGAACGCAGCAGCTCACACTGCTAGTCCAGAGGCTGCAGGAGAAACTCGCCCAGCACAGTGACCACAGCTTCTACCTCTTCAAGGTGAGACATGCTTCTCAAAGGACCGGGGAGGAGAAGGGTGGTGAAACAGTCGATGCTTCATTCATTTCTCTTACCATAAAAGCAGGACTTTTCTCACTTTACAACGCTTTTTTGAAGAAGAAAAAAATACTTCTTTATTTCCATGTCTCATGTGTATGTGCTAAGATTAAGTTACAAAAATCATTTGTTGGGTGAATGAATGAAATTCAAACTGTTCTTCAGATACTAAATAAAGATTTGTAGCAGGGTCATTGCCATTAGGTGAATTTTAAGTTATTATTGAAATTATTGTCTAGCTAGACTAATCTTAAGGAGTTCTGTTTCATAATATATTGACATGGTAATAGATACTCTTTCTTGCATATGGTGTGTTCCATCTGATACAATATATCCAGGAGCTCTTTAGTAGGTGTCCACTGTGGTTCTGGGTGATGGCTGTCTTACCTTGCTTTCCAGCAGGTGGCACTGTTCCACTTCAAATACACAAATACAAGCACCATCATGGACTGGACAGCGTCAGGGAAACTGAACTGCTTTTGGTGATCCTGGGGCTTTGTACCCAGAGGCCTTGTGCTCACCAGAAAGGTGCTCTACCACTTGATCCATGCCTCCACATTTTTGATTTAATTATTTTGGGGATAGTGTCTCGTGATTTTCTCTGGGCTGGCCTGGACCGTGATCATGTATGCTTCCTACGTGGAAGTCATACCCAGCTAGGAGAGGGAGTTTTGTCACTTTTTTTGCCTGAGCTGCCCTCAAATTTTGATTTTTTTTCTGATCCTTACCTCCCAAGTGTCTGTGATTACAAGAGTGAGCCATGTCTCTGGTCTCAAAAAAGGAACACTTTTGATACTGAAAAGGGAAGCTATTCCTCTGATACAGCTGCCGCTGACATAACCAGACATAAACAACCTAGCCATTCAAAGGTGATTCAAATCTTTGAATATTGATAAACTACCTACCATGTGGAGATTGAAAAACTGGTGACATATATTCAGTCAGGAAGTTTTAGGATTCAAAAAACAGTAGCACATCATAACGTACATATAAAGCACAGATAGTGTGTTCACACTTAGTGTTCATAAATACATGTAAAAACAAATGCAATGTATAAAAATTGTTGCAAATGAATGCTGCTTAGTATCTTACCTAATGGCTACAATTTTATCCTAAGAGAAATTGTTGTGGATAGCAAACCCAGAACCAATTATGCCCTGCAATTATCTGTATGAGCCAAATGTTTGGTTTGTCTTAATAGATTGTCCATTTGTTACTTGTAAATTCGACAGCATTGAACATCTTCATTCATTGGAAATTAAAAATTAATGAATCCAGTTTAATATGGTGTGACTCCAAAATAAATGGTGTTTTCTTGCATTGAAGGTTCTCCGGGCACACATCCTGCCGCTGACAAATGTCGCTCTCAACAAATCTGGCTCATGGTAAGGCTCTTTTTATTTCAATTGTGTAGCAATCAAATTATAAAACCATTGCTGGGGTTGCCAAGTAGTGCAATTACTTATGCACCTCATGTATTCATTCCTCTGGCTTCAGTGTCCTACTTAGTACAGAGGAAACTTTAAGCACTTGTTCTCACTGCTCTGAGTTTTCTGTTGTATTTGTGGACTTGGGGTAAGAAGCATGCTGAGATCTCAGGAAGCTACAGCTGTGCGTTATTTAACTCAGGGTAGTAGCTCTTGGGGTGTGAAGTTGTGTTCTTCTTGGCCGAGGGAGCTGGGTAGTGGCTGCTTGTGAGAGTGTTCAGTTTATTCTCCGTCTAGCCCAGGGTCTGAGGGGGAGGCAAGAAGAGCCTTCAAGCCTGTGTCTAGAGCAGGCATGGGATGCACTCGGATTCTGAAGCTGGAAAGACCAAGTGGAGAACTGAGGCAGAAGCTAGAGCGGGGAAAAGGGAGACCAACATTCCACGGTTGGAGAATGACATCATTTGTAGAGATATAGTTTCATCAAGTGGTACACATGATTTAGTGATAGAAGAATATGCCCTGAAGGAATGTAGCCATTCTAAATGGAATTCCTGTTGGTTTTAATGGGTGAAGTCTCTTGTGGTTTATAATAAAGTGGGGGTTTTAAGTCAAAGGGTTTAGATACTGTTTTCAATTTGCTCTGTATTGCACACATAATCTCTACTATAAAAGAACAAAATGAGCTGGGCAGTGATGGCTGATCTCTATAATCCTGGTAGCTAGGGAGGCTGAGATTGAGAAGTTTGTGATTTGAGGCCATCCAGAAGAGAAAACTTTGTGAGACCCCCCTTCTCAGCTGATGCCTATTCTCCTAGGTGTAGTGGGAAACTCTCCAGGCACGTGTGCAGGTGGGATGCAAGACCCCGCCTCAAAAGTTAAGCAGTGATGACCAACTTTAGTGGCTCATGCCTGTCATCCTAGCTACTCAGGAGGCTGAGATCTGAGGATCGTGGTTCAAAGCCAGCCTGAGCTGGAAAGTCTGTGAGACTCTTATCTCCAATAAACTACTCAGAAAAAGCCAGAAGTAGTGCTGTGGCTCAAAGAGGTAGAGTGCTAACCTTGAGTGAAAAAGCTCAGAGACAGCACCCAGGACCTAAGTTCAAGCCCCATGACTGACAAAAAAGCAGTGAAGGCCAGAGGCCTTACAACATTTACCTAGTAAGGCCGGGGCTTTGTGTTCAAACCTCAGAGCTACCAAAACACACAAACACCAAATGATGAAATTATCACAAAATACGAAGTCTTTTTTTTTTTTAATTTTTATTTTTAGCAGTACTGGGTTTTGAACTCAGGACCTTGTTTATCTTGTTTGTTTGCTTGCTTGGCTGGCACTTCACCACTCGAGCCACATGTCCAGCCTACTTTTTGCTGGCTACTTTTGGAGATAGAGTCTTGTGGACTTTCCTGCCCAGGCTGACCTTGAACTTCCACCTTCGTGATCTTAGCCCAGAGTAGTCAGGATTACAGGCGTGAGCACCAGGCTCATAGCAGAGTCTTCACGAACACGCTTCTGTTCTCATCCTGTGTTCTTCTCCCTTGTGTTAGCTTTATCACAGGAAGCTATGACCGGACGTGCAAGGTGTGGGACACCACATCGGGGGAAGAGCTGCACACCCTGGAAGGCCACGGCAACGTGGTGTACACCATCGCCTTCAACAACCCCTATGGGTCTGTGTGTCCATTCACTTGATCCTTCACTAAGTCACGTGTTCAGGCCTCAAGCTTGGGGTCAGGGCGGGGAGGGGGCATGGGGGAGAGGAGGGGAGGGAACAAGGGAAGACAGTTAAAATGTCTTGGCTGTCTGCTATACCACTGATGGCCTTCCAGAATCTCCTTCAATGTTTAATGCCCGTGGGACAGGTATAGAATGAGGAGTTCAAGGCCAGCCTGCATCCACAAACAGCTGTGGTGGTTAGGGCAGATGGGTGGGTGGCCCTGGACGCCATGATATAATGTACTCCGCAGCTTGCTTCTCCATTTGGAAATAATGTTCAGTCTGTGGCAGCTCACAGCTACCTCGTAAGTAACCATGCAAATACGATAAGAGGTTATTTTTCAAACAACCTCTGGCTCGATGTGTCTGGGGCTCGCAATGTTTTCTGTCCTTATGACCTGGGATCCTAAGCTTAGAGAGAGATACCTGCATTTGTTGACCAAGCCATGGTTTCAACTTTAATTACCGAACTTGATACGAAACTGCATTACAGAAATTGTTGTGTTAAAATGTTCCATACACCAATGGAATGGAAGAGTGTGGAAAGAAGGCTGGGTATTTTTTGTTTGTTTGTTTTTTTGGTCAATCATGGGGCTTAAACTCTGGGCCTTGGCCCTGTCCCTCAGCTCTTCAGCTCAAAGTGAGCTCTCTACTACTTGAGCCACAGTGCCACTTTAGGTTTTCTGGTGGTTTACTGGAGATAAGAGTCTCACAGACTTTGCTGCTCAGGCTGGCTTTGAATTGTGATCCTCAGATCTCAGCCTCCTGAGTGGCTAGGATTAACAGGTGTGAGCCACTGGCACCCAGCTTTTTTTTTTTTTTTTTTTAATTCTTATTATCTTTAAGTAGTTCTACATAAGAAGTGCCATTTAACAAAGTGTGTTTGTTGTTCTCAAAGGTAAATCTTGGGGGAGTGAGAAATAGTGTTCCTAATGAAATTGTTGGAAAGAGTGAGGTTCATCTAGACAGCATCTTCCAAAATCCTGGGAATATTATGACTCGGGTTTTTTTCAGAAATGTTTCTCATTTAAAGAAAAGAAAGCAGGGGCTGGGAAGGTGGCTCAGTGGTAGAGCGCTTGCCTTGCATGCTCAAGGCCCTGGGTTCGATTCCTCAGCACCACATAAGCAAAAAGAAAAAAGCCGGAAGTGGCGCTGTGGCTCAAGTGGTAGAGCGCTAGCCTTGAGCTGAAGAGCTAAGGGACAGTGCCCAGGCCCAGAGTTCAGGCCCCACGACCGGACCCAAAAAAAAAAAAGAAAAGAAAAGAAAAGAAAGCAGGATTTATAGAGGTTTAATAGAGGAAGATGTTCAGTTAACTCATACCTGGTCGTCGATTCTTTAGCTCAGTCAATTCAAAGGCCTCTGTCACAGATTGGGAAATGAAGGCACAATGGAATAAAAAGTTAAACACACATAACTTTTTTAAAGCACTTGTCCACCAAGAAATGAGTTTTCACATCAGTGAAGCTGGTTCAGTATTTCTGGCCTATTTCCTATGGTAAATGATCACAGCAAAACAGCAAATGCTTCACAAGTTAAGAGGAGAGGGAGAGCATGGGGATTCCTCTTGATCTGAGATGTGAGATTAGAGTCTCAGCCTGAGGGGCTCATAAACGGTGGGAGCCCAGGACCCCTGGGGCATGGACTTTGGCTGCTCAGGGTTTCCTCAGACAGCCCCATGGCCAGTCTCTCTCATGAGAAACCAAAGGGGCAAGGTCACAGCACCGTGTGTGGTATGAATGCTCTTCGTCCTGCAGGGCTGAGTTGCTATGGAGTTTATGAACAAAGGGCAGGAGCGATGAGCATGCTCTTTAGAAGGTCTTCTTGGCAGAGAGAAGGTGTTGGGGGCATTGGCAGTGGGAAGCAGCAGGAAGCAAAGCGCTTAGTAAGACAATGAACATTGTCAGGCAGAGTGGCAGAGGGAACAGAGGGGCTCTGGAGATTAGATGTGCAGCCTGGCACCGGTGGCTCACGCCTGTCATCCTAGCTACTGAGGAGGCTGAGATCTGAGGATCGTGGTTCAAAGCCAGCCTGGGCAGGAAAGTGCTTGAGACTCTTATCTCCAGTTAACTACCAGAAAAGTGGAAGTAGTGCTGTGGCTCAAACTGGTAGAGTGCTAGCCTTGAGCGAAAGAGCTTAGGGACAGCGTCCAGGTCCTGAGTTCAAGCTCCATGAGCTAAAAAATAAGAAGATCAGACGTGTATAAATAGAATTTTTCACTATAGTTTCTGGAAGTGATATCTAGGCTTAGAAATTACACTTGCAGAGCACATTACTTGAGGTGGTACTATCCACCCTAATTGGAACACTAAAACAGTAAATTTAACTTTGATTTTTACTTCCTAGAGAATGATCACATTCATAATAGTTTATTATATGATCTTGTGGAGGGGGAAATGTGATTGGGATTGTAAGTGACATTGTTTTATGGCTGGTGTAATTCCCATTTCATTTTATCGTGATGCAGTCTCCATTACATAAATACCATATCTCTTAATGGTCTACTTAACAGATATGATCTTTTATTTGGTATCTCTTGGGGAATAAAATTCTCTGGCAAGTCTAGGCAAGAGGCATTCTAGTAGATTCTGTTAAAGGCCCCAGGTGAAAATGACCACTGTTCCAGTTGTGCAAAATCGTCTGATGATTTAGTTGTGTGCAAAAGTTGTAGTTTTCATGGTTCCCTGTGGCATGAACATTTCCACAAAGTGAGCTTAAGACAGCCATCAAAGAATAAGATGGAGCTTGTGTTGTGTTCATGTGTGTGCACATTCACATCAGCTCATGTACACTCACCTGCGTGTTCAGGTGTGTTCACGCGTGTGCATGTGTGTGCATGTCTCCTTATGTGTGTATTTATGTGTATGTGTGTGTGACAAAAAGTGTGTTTTTACGTGTTTTTTTTTTTTTACAGTAGGTAAGGTGTGAATTTTGTTTGTTTTCTTTTTTGTATTGTGAAAATACTGTACAGAGGGGTTACAGTTACATGAGCAAGGTAATGAGTACATTTCTTACCCAGCATTGTTGCCTCCTCCCTCCCACCTCCTCATCTACACTCCCTGCCCCAGCCTAAATTGTAAAGTTCGTTTTTTCGACATAACGTCTTGTACATTTCATTGTTGCAATGGGTCCACCTGTATCCCTATTTAAACAATTTGTTTTTTTCCCTTCCCTTCCCCAAATTATACCAATATCAAATACAGTGAAAATAGGGGTTATAACATGAGGGAGGGATATACAAAGCACAAAAAAATCACTTAAACCCTGTTTGCCCTGAAACTTAGTCCGAGCTGGTCTTCAACTTGCACTCTTCCTGTCTCAGACTCCCAAATGCTGGGATTACAGCCATGTACTGCTGTGTATGGCAATGAGTAAGTTTTGATTCAGTAAAGCAATTCTTAATCAAGATGTTGATATGAGTAGCATCTTTTATGCAATGGTGTCATAAGGACACAGAGTATACTTCAATAGACATACAATAGATATTGGTTAACTACAATGACCACTGAATACTGATAAAGGGAAGAAGGTCGAACAAATGGATGGATATGACCCATGAGGGCTTGAGCTTACCTTGAGCAGAGGTCGAAGGTAGCAGCAATAGGTGGGAAATGTCCAGGTACCCTGGGTTGGATGGCAAAGGGAGAGGCCATTGCAGAAATTCTGCATGGGCAGCCGGCCTTGATGGCCGGAAGGACACAGAGAAATGTGTGGGTGTTATCTAAGAAAAGCTGTTCCTAGAGCGCTGGCAGAAAGGACCTTCAGCCCAAAATGACCACTGAAGTGCCCTGTTGGGGGCTGACACCAGAAGAATGAAGCAAGACACCAGTGTTGTTATGGACAAATAAGTTCTACTACCCTCTTGGTGCTATAATTTGCCTTCAGATATGCGGTTTGGGTTTAAGATCTCTTATACCTTCAAACAATGAGGGTCCTCCGTAAATGGCAGCCCGGGGCTTGGGGGCGGCACAGCGGCAGAGCATTCGCCCAGCGAGCCCCGAGTTTGAGCTCAGCATGGCAGAAAGGAAAAACCAAAAGCATTGTTGAGTCTTAAAAGAGAAAATGAGGAGTGGCTACCATCTGTAATCCTGCCATTGGGTAAGTTGAGGCAGGAGGATCGTGAGATCGAGGCCAGCCTGGACTACATAGTGAGACTCGTGTCTCGTAAACTAAAAGCTCATTAATTAATAAGTTAATTAAATTTTAAAACAGCACCCAAAGATAACTGTGAGGACATTTTGATGACTTGCTGTAAATGATAAATGTGGGCTAGGGGTAAAATAAGAAAAAAATACTGCCAAGACCCATGGTTAACCAGTGTAATCCAGTTCTTCTTCTTGGGTAGGGAACATAGCCTAGCTATAGACTCATATGGGGTGTCTCTTGCCTGAAAGTGGCTGGTCTTTCATCAATCTGCTCTCAGAATTCTCTTGCAAAAAGAATAATACAATTTTCTCAGGGAGTTTCTCATTGCCTAACTTCTCAAAGCCACAATACCCACCGGCTAGAGGCTTTTTGCCTCTCTTTTAATTTTCTCCTTTTATATTTATGTTATTTGTCCTTTATAGCTATTTACAGAATCTCCCTAGGTTTTGCCGTATTTCATTATTTTAATTAAGAATTGATACGTATTGATCCCATAAAGATGAGGCATTATTTTGTTATTCATTGAAACAAATATACTATTGCTTGTCTTGAAAGTGAAGTTATGTCCGCATCTGAATGCTTCTTGTCTTAGTCCAATGGATCATGTGATGCAGTCGAGTATGTTTTAACATGCATACTTCCAAAAATTGCAGAGACAAAATTGCCACGGGGTCCTTTGACAAGACTTGCAAACTCTGGAGTGCGGAGACAGGAAAATGCTACCACACCTTTAGGGGCCACACGAAAGAGATCGTGAGTATATTCAACAACTTGTCTTTTCCTTTTGTCTTGCTTGTTGCTTGTTAGCTTATCTGTCTTTGGGAGGGTAAGGGGGGGGACATATAAAGGGTGGGAACAAGGTGAACAAATGCAGGAGTGGTGCTCATTGGACCCTATGGTGAAAATGGGTGGGGACTGGAGGGAAAACTTGGGAGTGAGTGAGGGAAGGGGTGACATTGTTCAAAAAGAAATGTATTCTTTCCCTGACTTATGTAACTGTAACCTCTCTGTGCATCACCTCTACAATAACAATAATATATAAATATAATATATATAAACATAAATGAATTATATGTAGATGTAATTTATATACTATAAAATTAAGAAAAGTAAGGGAAGGGGTGGGTTGGGAAGGAGGGAAAATGTACCATTGATTAAGATGCATTGTATTTATGTACTGCTTTGCTAAGTGGCATCTTCTTTATACAACTACATCATGATAATAAGAATAATGAGAAAAATAAGAAGGAATTTTATATTGTAGCTCCTTGTTAGGATTCCATCTTGGAAGTAAGGTTGTAGATTTCATTTTCAAATTCAGACCCATACTGATCATAGCTGAGAGTGTTGCTGTAATTTAAAAAGAACAGTAGCTTGCAGTAAGGATGTGATCAATGCACTCTGATGTGATCAATATATCAGTATAATATCCAACCTTACTTCTTGCTTTTAATTTGCTAATCTTTAAAGAACTGATTCTGCCCAGTATGGAAGATGTGGTTGTTTTTTTTTTTCTAAATAATAGCTTTTAAAATAATTTTTTGTGTGTCCTGTAAAACAAGCCTATTATTTTGTGGGCATCATTAGAATTTGCATTTGTATAGACAGTCTGAGTCTCTAAATAGCTTCCACTCCTGGGAGGCCCTTGCCCTCCACCAATTAGTGAGAGAATTGGCACCCTGCAGAACAAGCCATGGGTCTGGAAAGTAAACAGCCTGCTGATTTTAGGAGCAAACTGCTTCTATTCTCCATTCAGATTCATGGTGTATTCATCTAACAAGAACACATGCTGTACCCAAGGAACTCTGCAGACACAAGGGGCCCCTGCGCAGCACTTCCAGTCCAAAGCCCTTGGCCCCTGATAGCTTAGTTTTCCCTGCTCCTAGTCCTAAGTGATAGTTTCCCATCTGAGGGCTTAGTTGAGGATGCTGATGCTTACAGAGCACTTTTCCCAAGGTCAAAGAAAGACATATTCCTTGTCTTTAGAGAGTGGCTATGTCATCATACTTCCTTGGAATTTTGAAAAGATATTTTCTTTGTATAGTTCCTAGAAAGACAGTTATGGTTTGATAACCAAGTACCTCTATTCAAGACATAGTTACTAAGTGTTAACTATGTGTGGAGCTGCTAAGAAGCATGGAGCAACTACTAGCATGGGACAATATTTTCCCCAAAGATCTTTTTGATTGGGTCACAGAGGCTTCAAGGTGTAGCTTCAAAGATGGGTTGTAAGGCTGGTAGACACGGACCAGGCATTGAGAGGATATGGGAAAGCGTAGCCATCAGGTGTCCTTGGGCAGGGAAGGGGTTGAGGAAAGGCTTACAGAGACATGGCAGCAGGCCAAAGGAACAGCACTGGGCAGTGGCAGAGGTGTGCACCTGTGATGTGTCCTGGAAAACCCGTGGGGCTCTGTGTCCAGAAGTGAAGGATCCCTCATATCCATCCCGGGGACCACGCAGCGGCAGACAGGAAGAGGAGAAAGATTATTACAAGGTTTATGAGAGGAGCACATGGCAGCCTCCACTATCTAGGTAGCAGCAGGGTCTGGGGGTAGGAAGTGAGGTAGATGGGAGCTAGGGTGGGTTTGAGTGGAGAGAGGGAGGGGCCAGCTGTATGGCTGGAGCTCCAGGGCTGGGTGGAGCTGAGGACCAAAGTTGGGCACAATACAAACAGGGAGCAGGGTCCAGTCAAAGCCAGGAGTAGCTGGCATGGGAAAGGTTGGCAAAGGCCACACTGTTGGGTTGAAGCAAGAAAACCTGGCTTTATCATGCAGATAATGTCACATGTTTGAGAGTTCTTCCATTGAGGGGCAGGGTATGCTCAACTTGGCCATGTGAGGTTGCTTGTGTGCAGGGGGAAGGAGAGATTGGGATCATGGGTATGGACAATTTGGAGATCTTGTTGCTCTCCAAATGTCAAATATGAAAGGCCGGCCAAAGGCAGAGGAGGAAGTCATGAGGGGTTTTGAGAGCAGTGACAACAGGAGTTCGTTGGCATGAAGGAATCCAGCCTTCCTGTGTTTGGGAATCATGGGTCACTGGCAGCGGCATGGACAATTCTGCATAAAAGAGGTGTCCATTTGTGCCAATTGACTCGGGAGTTTTGGGCAGATTGAAAGAAGTAGTTCATGTGATACCCAAGTGGGAATCTCTTTGGCAGTTGACTCTTTGGTCCTGGCATTGGGAGTGAGGAAGCCCTGGCCTCCTGGGGCTTTGGGAACCACTGAGCAATGAAGGATGTGAATGGGGAGAAGACTAAAGGAATCTGGGTATGTTGGGCTTTTTGTTGCTGTTGCCAGTTATCGATTTCAAAGTCTGTTCTTCTAAAGTGTTTTTTTTTTTTGTTGTTGTTTTGTTTCCATTTCATGTAATTTAGGTGTGTTTATCATTTAACCCTCAAAGCACAGTGGTAGCCACTGGCAGTATGGATAGAACGGCCAAGTTGTGGGATATTGAGAATGGAGATGAAGTGTTCACTCTAACGGTATGTACACAATTGTTGGCACGCTTGCCCTGCGTGCCCATTTCTGTTTGCATTTTTTGGTACAAAATGAACAGTAACTTAGAAGGCGGTTTTGAACTACTGATTGTTGTCTGTTACGATCGGTCTGCTGACTGTCCCGAGAGACCTGGTAAGGATGATTGAGAAGTCAGACAATCTTTTATTTTGATGAACGCAATGTTTTCAAACACATAAACTATAACTTGGAACCTGTAGTTGTCTATTGGGCTAAGAGGAGAGGGGGCCTGTTTTGGAGAAGCAGAAGTAGGGAAGCATCCCAGAGGATTATTTACAAGGACCACAGCGTACCCTCTCTTCCTCATTGCCTGCCAGTCTTAACCCCTTCTGTGTCTTGGGTTGCTTGATCCATGCCACCAGCCTGGATTTTTGCTGGCTCTTTTGGAGTTAGAGTCTCATGGATTTTTCTTTTGGGAGGTCTGATGTGGCATTGACCTTCTATCTTCCAGATCTCAGACACTCAAGTAGCTAGGGTTACAAGAGCCACTGGTGCCTACCCCCCCCAAAACATCTCTCCTGCGTCAAAATGAACTTGCTTTAGGTGTGTAGGTACATAATCTTACTGTGCACTTGTCACCTAATCTAGTTGTTAGAACATTCATATTACTCCAGGAAGAAACCTGTGCCCATTTGTAGCCAACCATGCATTTCCTTCTCCAGAACTTTTCCTTTCCTAGCAATTGCCTAGATTGTGACATTAAATGTACTTGTAGGATTTGTTATATCACTTAGTAAACATGACAAATACTGGTTTTTTAGGGACATTTGGCAGAGGTTATTTCCTTGTCATTTGATACCTCGGGAAACAGAATCATCACAGGGTCCTTCGATCATACAGTAGTGGCGTGGGACACCGCAACCGGAAGGTAATTAAATTATTTGTCATTATCTTTAATTAGTGTCAAGGGGTTTCCATTCAACATGTCTGTTTATGAGGACAATGTATCTTGATCAATGTCACCCCTCCCGTCATTTTGAATCATGGTGAGCAGGCTGAGAAGAATGTGGTACTTCTTAGTTTCAACTTGTATCTAGTAATTGTGCTGTGCATTCTACAGAAATAGGACATACTAAAAACATTGAACTACTTAATTCTCTGCTGATAGTTCTGATCCATAAAATAAGAGCTCCCTCAGAGTTCTGTGCAATAATGGCAGACAGCGCCATGACAGGAGATTGAGCGACAGCCTGGTTGTGTAACTCTGGCACACGCATGTGCTACCTAGTCAAATCTCCATGACCTCTTCTATGGGATAGGCATGTGTATCATGAGCAAATGAAACTCAGTTAATTTTCCAAATTTAATGTTGGTCCAAGATCTTCAGTTTTCTTCCTCAGGATTTTTGGTCTTAGTTTAAGGAAGTCAACAAAATTAGCCTCTTTGTACTGGAAAAGTTCACTCTTGGACTTGTGTGCATTTTGGTGGAGTGGTTCATTCTCACGGGAACCAACCAAGACACACTCAAAAAGAAATGAGAGGAAAGGAAGTTTTTCAGTCACATGATGTCTAGTTTCTAATATAGTTTTTCTTGTATATGAGAACACTGTTAAGGGTCAGACTACCTTCATTATTTAAAAAATTATTAAAATATGCTTATCTTTAAAAATTGCTTGTCAAGGTGATGTACAGAGGGGTTACAGTCATATAAGTAAGGTAATGATTACATTTCTTGTCTAACTTGCTACCCCCTCCCTCATTTTTCTCCCTCTTTCCCTCCTCTCCCAATTCCCCACCCCCCAAGTTGTACGGATCATTTCCAACATACTGTCTCCTGAGTATTGCTGTTGTAGTGATTTCCCCTTTGTCCTTTGTCTCACCATTTTGTTGTTCCCCTTCCCTTCCCTAATTCAGATAAATGTATATACAAAATACCCAGTGTGCCAAAATCAAACACAGTGACGACGGGATAAAGCATATGGGGAAAAGCACAAAAGAAACAAAGAAATCATGCAGTACATTGAGAACAACTTTAAGTAGCTGTGCAGAGGAGTTGCCATTCAACGGAGTTTATCAGTGCAACCTGTCTCGACCATCATTGGCACCCATCCCTGCTCCCTTCTCTCAGTCTTCTTAGTTTTGTAGGATATGCATTGAATTTCTGACTGCATCCCTCCCCCCCCCCCAGTTCTTCTCTTTATTCATCTTCCTCCCTTTCTTTGACCTCCACCCCGCTTTACCCTACTTCTTGCAAGTACCAATCTTCTGGTGTTTATTTTGTCTACCTTTTACTATTTCTAGGGAATTACACTATTTGACTTCTCCTGAATCTACCATATTTCAGTTAATACATTTGTATACACTTGCATACTACCCAATGTATTTACGTCTACATTTATAAATGAATTCTAGCCTCCATGTATGAGGGGAGACAATCTTGGCCTCTCTGGGCCTGACTGTCTTCACTTAGCATAATTATTTCTAGGTCCTCCTATTTCTTTGCAAATGATACAATTCCATTTTTTCTAATCGATAAGTAAAATCACATTGTGTATGCACACACACGCACACACACACACACACATAACACTTTCTTGACATATTCATCCTTTGAGGGGCATTTGGGCTGATTCCATGCCTTGGCTATAGTGAATATTGCTTATATTGAGCATGGTTGTATTCATGGCTTTACTGTACATTGACTTATAATATTTGAGATACATGTCCAGGAGTGAATTGCTGGGTCACAGAGTAGTCCTGTATTTAATTTTTTGAGGACCCTTCGTACTGCTTTCCAGAATGGTTGAACGAGGTTACATTCCCACCAAGAGTGTATTATGGTTCCCTTTGGACTACATCCCCTCCAGCATCTGTTCTTATTTGTTTTCTGCGGTGTCCATCAAACATTTTTATTTCTTCTGAGAAGTCTCTATTTAGCTCATTAGCCCATTTATTAATTGGGTTGTTGATTCTTTGAGCGTTTAGTTTTTTTCAATATCTGCACATTCTGGATATTAGGCCATTTTCTGATGTATAGCTGACAAAAATCTCCCAATCTGTAGGCTGTCTTTTTAGTTTGTTAGCTAGGCCTTTTGCCATGCAGAAACTTTTAAGCTGGATGTAATCCCATTTATCCAGCTTTTCTTTGATTTTTCTGTGCTTCTGCATCTTCGCTCAGAAAGTTTCTGTTTGTACCAAAGAGCCCTAATGTTTTTCCTACTGTAACAGTTTTATGGTTTCAGGCTTTATACTGAAGTCTTTTATCCATTTTGATTTGATGTTGGCTCAAGGTGGTTGATACAGATCCAGTTTCAGTTTTCTGCATGTGTATAATCAATTGTTTCTACCCATTCCTTTCTGAAGTTTATCTGAAGTAGTATTAATTATTAACTTGTTAATTATTAATTTATTATGAAGCAATATTAGTGTTTTAATCCTACACATTTATTATATACAGTGTGATAATTTGATATATGTTCTATGTGTAATGACCAAGAAGGGTACTTAACATTTTCATTTCCCCAAATTTCTGCACACTTACTAATGTACAATAATTGTTCATGTTTTCGTAAGTTGCAGTGCAGTATTTCAGTATGCACATAATGTGCGCTAATCATGTCATAAAATAGATGGAACTGGAGGATATTATGTTAAGTGAAATAAGTCATAGAAATGTTACCTCTGATTAAATTTTAGGTACATTTTCATTGAAATTATTAGCTTGCTTTTGAGGGTAGCAGAACCACTTGATGTTTCAACATTAAAGATACTTTGTTCACACTGATGAACTTAATCTCTTTTTCATGGGTGTATGCCATAGTAAGAGCCTTTCACCAGTTTGAATGTTTTCCTTCCTGTAGGAAGATGTACACCCTCATTGGTCACTGTGCGGAGATCAGCAGTGCAATGTTCAACTGGGATAGCTCTCTCATATTAACAGGCTCCGTGGACAAGACCTGCATGGTGAGCTCAGGAAAGAGCTTGCTTTATAGTATGTTAGATAGCCACAAAACACTTAACAAATTGCAAAAATAGTATGCAGTTAAACATTTATATATATATATATATATATATATATAAATGCTAATTTATTTCAAGTGTCAGGTTTCCCAAGTTAAAAGAAACTATAAAGTGCTAAAACAAGTTAAATTGCACCACGTGTAGTGAAGATCTTATTTGTTTTTTTTTTGATTCTTTAAAAAATTAATTAATTAATTAATTTTTTTATTGTGAGAATACCATACAGAGGAGTTACAATTACATGGACAAGATAACGAGTACATTTCTTATCAAGCATTGTAGCCTCCTCGTTGTTTCCCCTTCCCATCCCTTCCCATACTCCTCCCCTCCCCCACCCGAACCTCCCCCACCCTCCATCAAAGTTGTAAAGTTCGTTTTTCGACATAACGACTTGTACATCTCATTGTTGCAATGGGTCCACCTGTATCCCTAGTTAAACAATTTGTTTTTTCCCTTCCCCTCCACAAATTATACCTACATCAAAAACAGTGAAAGCATGGGTTATACTGTGGGGGAGGGACATACAAAGCAACATAGAAATCATCTTATAAATATGATAGAAACAATTGCATGAAAGGAAAAAAAAAACAAAAAAACATTTGAATAGTTATCTTGGAGTTCATTCCCCTAACATCATCTTATCTGACCTTTTCTGCTTGTCTCAGACATATACTAGTTATTGCTAATAAGGGAAACCATGGGACCTATGTTTCTTTGGGCCTGGCTTACTTCACTTAATATAATTTTTTCCAAGTCTTTCCATTTCCTAACAAATGGGGCAATGTCAGAAGATCTTATTTGTAAAGGACATCCTTTGTGTGTGCATGTGTGTGTGCATGAACACGTGTGTGTGTGTGTGTGTGTGTGTGTGTGTGTGTGTGTGTGTGTGTGTGTGTGTGTGTGGTCGTATTAGAGTTGGAACTCAGGGCTTCAGGATCTTGATTAGTGTTTTTGCTCATGGCTAGAATTCTACCACTTGAGCCACATCTCTATTTCTGGAATTTTGCTAGCATTTTAATTTTTTTGGTGCCCATCTTGGGGCTTGAACTCATGGCCTGGGCACCGTCCCTGAGCTCTTTTTTGCTTAAGGCTACACTCTACCACTTAAGCCAGAGATCCACCTCTGGTTTTGTGGTAGTTAATTGGAGATGGGAGTCTCATGGAATTTCCCAACCAGGCTGGTTTTGAGCCATCATCGTCGGATCTCTGCCTTCCCATTAAGTAGGATTACAGGAGTGAACCACCATCACCTAATTTTTGCTAGTAATTTGGAGTTAAGAATCTCAGATTTGTCTGTCCAGGCTGGCTCTCTGATTTCAACCTTCTGAGTAGCTAGGTTTACATGCATGAGCTACTGGTGTCAGTTTAAAAGTCACATCATTTTTGGTTAATGTCTTGCTGTTCATTTTTAGATTTTGTGATTAGCCTGATCCTTCTGGCCTCTGAATTTCAAAAAATGGTTTCTAAATTAGGGATGGTGGCACACATCTATAATCCCAGTAACTGACGAAGAGAGGTAGAGGATCATAGTTCAAGGTTGGCTCAGGGAAAAGTGCTGAGACCTTTTCGGTTAAACAAACTAAAAAGCAAAAGGGCACGGGGGGGTGTGGCTCAGGGGGTCGAGGCCCTGAGCTCACCCCCAGTGACTTTGCTTCCCCCAAGGTAATTATGACTTTATACTCTGGAATCACCGTTCAATTATTTATTAATTGCAGTATATGCTTTTCATTTTCTGGCATTGTGGTTTGGGATTAAGCCTTTTAATGTCTTTCCTATGTAAAGAGGGGCCTTTTATGCCAATCATTAAAGCATATACTTGGAAAGATTTTTTTCTTTTCTTTTCTTTTTAATGTGGTGATAGATTCAAAGTACCTTGCCTTTGTCTTTTTTTGCTGTGACAAAATGCACTTTGCCGCATGACTGGCTGTGGTGGTCTCTTACCATAAGTCAAGGTAAAATGATTTGAACGGTGAAGCTCGTACTCAGAGTTTGGACCCAGTTATTTAATAGCCATAAGCATGTCATAAAGGCCACCTTCACATTTCAGACAGGAAATGTGTTTCTCTTTTTCTAATCATAGTTGTGGGATGCTACAAACGGGCGATGTGTGACGACGTTAACAGACCATGACGATGAAGTGCTGGATAGTTGCTTTGACTACACGGGGAAGCTCATTGCCACAGCTTCTGCAGACGGTAGGCAGTCTATGCATACGCATGCATAGCGTACGGCTTTGCTTCGATGCAGATGCATGATTCTAGCCCATAAGGCATCTTTCTGAGATCCTCTAAGGTGGAAACACCATGCATCTTATTTCCTTAATGACCTGTGTCACTCCAGGGTGTCCATGCCATATTTTTGAAATTGCCGTGATAGCATATATAGTCTGTGTGTCACCTCCTTGATAAGATAGGAATGGTGTCACCTTCATCATGGTAAGCCCATATTATAGCCTGCTCTGGGTCATCTCCATGGTGATCTTGCTTGATGCTACCCTGTGTCAGCTTCATCAGACAGACCAAGACCATTGCTGGTACTATGCTAAATCTGAATGATCTCTTTACAACCAATGCTCTGCTCTATCACATCGGTCAAGTCTTTGTGATAAGCCCATGTGACCGATGTTTTGCATGATCTTTGGTTACCATTTATGATTCTGTAAAGTGCTTATGTCATGCTCTGGTAACTATGTAGTTGGTGCTGTATTAATTTCATATAGGCCACCTATGATGCTGTATCTATCTACTATCTCCATGTTGGTCAAGGGTAACATCAATACTGTACTTTTTATTGTCCAACAATCAGGAATTATTCTGCACTGGGTTTGTATCATGTCCTTGTGATTATGTTTTATCTTCTTGTTTGATACTATACTATGTATCATGTACTTGACATATTTAAGATTAGAGTATCTACACTCTTTTTTAGGACAGTGCAAAATACTACCATGTGCGTACAATCTCTATGTATATGATGTCATTACATATGCCTCATTTTCCTGATGATGAGTTAGACACAGCACAGTGCATCATATTGAAGATGCTTACGCTTTGCTCACTACCTGTCTCGTGAAACTTGCTTTGCTCCTTTTTCTTTCCCTTTACAATTTTTTCTCTTGTTGCCATCACCCATTTTTCTAACTTGGGCTCCCAATCTTTTCTAATAAGGGACATACAGAAATTCCTTCTCACCCACTTATGCAGTGGGAACACATTTAGAAGATAAGTGTGACTCTCACTACAGGCAAGAAGACAGCACAGAGTTTGTGTGTCAGAGGATAGATATTTAGGTAATTCAAGATCTTTGGTCCAAAATTCTACATTTCAGATGAATTGACACATATCCCACCCCTCTCAAAAAGGGACAGCAAGAATTTATTGTACAGCCACGAGAAAATGCATTATCAAATTGGAAGGCCATGAAGGCGAAATTTCAAAGGTGAGTTGTTTGCTCATTTGCAAAGGTTTATTTACTTTCAAACGTAAATAGTACGCTTAGTGGAAATAGGAAAAATAGGTTAGGAATTCTTCCTTTGACTTTCATATTTAGCCATTTACCTCTTAAAAAACCTAACATATTTATTCATGTGGAATAAGCAGAGAAATAATGTGGGTTGATCTAGAGAAGACACAGATGGAAGCAAGATACGGAGTCCAAAGGGTGTCATTTATTGTTGCTAATAGAGAGACACAAGTGAGAAAATGTATGGTTTTACTTAATCTATGTCATGTCCTTATTTGATTATCTCTCTTTCTTTCTGACTTTTCTCTTTTTCTGAAACATAGTTTCTATATGTAGATTATGTTTACCTTAAACTCAAAATTCTCCTTTTTCAGTCACCCAAGTACTAGATTACAGATGTATACCACCATGCCCAACCTGATCATTATTTTAACATTCACATCCATTTAAGTCAACTCATTAGACCCCTTACAGAAACATGTGCCACTGAAAGTATTCTCTGTTGCTGCCTGTAGTTTTTCAGATATGTCCATTTATGGCAGTGAACTTCCCTTCTGGTCTTTGGACAACTGGCAGTTAAAAATTCATCAGACTAGACAAACTTCACTTGTACATAATTGACTTTAATAGGAATATAAGACTTTCATCTAAACTGGGCACCAGTGGCTCAAGCCTATAATCCTAGCTACTCAGGAGGCTGAGATCTGAGGATCACGGTTCAAAGCCAGCCTGGGGAGGAAAGTCTGTGAGACTCTTATCTCCAATCAACCACTAGAAAACTGGAGCTGTGAAAAACATGAGCTGTGGCTCATGTGAAGGAGTGCTTACTTTGAACTGAAGAGCACAGGGACAGTGCCCAAGTCCAGAGTTCAAGCCCCACGACAGACAAGACTTTCAGCTAATTTTCTTTTTAAACTATTTGAAATCTCTTCATTCAATTGGTCCCTGTTGATATGTAAAATGCAGTGTCTAATAAAATAGGTCTCTTTGGACCAAGATATGAAAATTTGTCCGATTTTTATCATTTTCCCTTAAAAATCAGTTATCTAAAGGTGTAATTAGTTAATTTGTTTCTATGTGCAGGCCCCGGGATTTGAATTCAGGGCCCTACTACTGTACCTGAGCTTTTTTTTTTCACTTTTTCTTGAGGGTAGAGCTCTACTACTCGAGCCACAGCTTGGCTTATTTGGATCTTAGCTTCCTGAGTAGCTAGGTCTACAGGTGTGAGTCACCAGTACCCTGCTAAATGGTTTTTATTTGTAAATGTGTTCTCTTTCTAACTTCCCATGATAAATAATTTCTAACAAACATAAGAAACTATAAGGAAGCATTGCATTCAACCATTGACAGATTTTAGTTAGTTTGAAAATACTTAATACAGCAATTTATGGAGCTTATGAAGTGCCTTTTCTGCTTCTAGTAAACATTTGAGTTTATATTATGTTCCCCCCTCCCCCCCACCCACGCTGTGCATTCATTTCCACGTGTTCTCTCAATTAGATGCAATTGAGAAAATAGTTTCTGGAAATACAGAATACATGATATATACAATTATCTATTCTGAAACAACCAAACTCTGCTTTAAGATTTTGCATGAACGGTGTACCCCCAAACCTACTCACAGCACAGAGCCACTTGCTCAGGGACTTGGGATTTTCATGGGTCACCAGAACACACTAGAATTCTGGGCTGTGGGGCCTCTCATTTTTCAACTCTGCCCATATACTTGTTCTCACACATGAAGTTGTATCTGTCTTGTCCATATTTAAATGTGAGCTTGATAGTTTCAGGTTTCAGAAGGCTCTGGCCAGATCTGGAACTGCCCTATGCTCTGTTGCTCTTCCCCTTTCCTCTGAGCCTTTGGTGCTGGGGCCACTGCTCTCCAACCTGTCCATGCTGGTTGCTCTAGGAACCAAACTGCCCTCTGCATAGGCTGAGAGGCAGTTGGTAGCATCGGGGGTGGGAAAGACCAAGGTGGAAGGCAGGATGGAAAGGGAGCCTAGGCCAAGTTGCTGAGTCTGGTTAGGTGATTACTGACACGTCTGGCATTATTCTTCAACAAATATACATGTGTTCTTGTGAATGTGTGAATACAGTTGTCAGACTCTGTATTAAGTTTATTATGCATGTTAACTGAACACATTGCTTATGGAATTGCTATCTGGTTATGAGATTCTTATGGTGTGCAAAGCTAAAGTATTTATTCATGCATCAAACAGTTTTCAAGAGGTTCTACTCTGCTAGGCACCTTGTGCAGGTGCCGGCGAACAGTGATGATATATGATACAGGACCCTACCCACCTCAAGCCTTCCGCCACAGAGGAGGGGCCCTACGGGCGGAAATGCGATTCCCCTCCTTGCCACTCAGATCACAATTGACACTGCCTTGCACAAACCTATTCATGGGAAGTGCTATTCTGTATGCAGAAATAGACCAGAAAGACCTTTCCTGTAGACCTGGAATACTCTCATTCTAGGTCCCTGAATGAAGGGGCATCTGTGTGTTCTCTGTTACAGAGTCATCTTGTGGAGATGACATTGAGATTTGTGTCTGACAGTCTGCTTTATGTTTTCATTCATAGCAAGACCCTACCTCTTTGTGTGGGGAATACACAAATGGCCAGTGTGTTTTGGTTTTCATCCTTAGAATTAGGAAGGGTGGGCAATTTTCATGTGGGCTTCAGTGTTCATAGTCCCTACAGTATTTTTCCCATCAGGAAACAATTATACCAGCTGGAGGAGGTGATTGGTGTTTAGTTATAGCTCCATCTTCTGAAAAAAACCTTTTGAGACCATTTCACAAACTTATGACCTATCTTCCTTCCTTCCTTCCTTCCTTCCTTCCTTCCTTCCTTCCTTCCTTCCTTCCTTCCTTCCTTCCTTCCTCCCTCCCTCCTTTCTCTCTCTTTTATTTCTTTCTTTCTTTCTCCTTCCTTCCTTCCTTCCTTCCTTCCTTCCTTCCTTCCTTCCTTCCTTCCTTCCTTCCTTCCTTCCTCCCTCCCTCCCTTTCTCTCTCTTTCATTTCTTCTTTCTTTCTTTCTTTCTCTTTCCTTCCTTCCTTCCTTTCTTCTTTCTTTCTCCTTCCTTCCTTCCTTCCTTCTTTCCTTCCTTTCTTTCTTTCTTTCTCTTTCTTTCTTTCCTTCCTTCCTTCCTTCTTTCCTTTCTTCTGTCTGTCTGTCTTTCTTTCTTTCTCTCTCTCCCTTCCTTCCTTCCTTCCTTCCTTTCTTTCTTTCTTTCTTTCTTTCTTTCTTTCTTTCTTTCTTTCTTTCTTTCTTTCTTTCTTTCTTTCTTTCTTTCTTTCTTTCTTTTTCTTTCTTGGCTTTTTCTTTTGCAGATTTCTTTCAACCCCCAAGGGAACCGGCTCCTGACTGGCAGCTCTGACAAGACAGCCAGAATATGGGATGTCCAGACCGGCCAGTGCCTCCAGGTTTTGAAGGGGCACACTGATGAGATCTTCTCATGTGCTTTCAACTACAAAGGCAACCTAGTCATCACAGGTATGTGAGAAATATCCGCAGTGGACCTGAATCCCCTTTTAAGTGAGCTGCTAGAATTTCCAGGCTAAATACTTGCAGGAGCTCAACTCCACATTCCTACTCCCTTTTCTAGAATATCCTTGGCATATATCACTGATTCCTGAATGTAGTCACATTTCCATTTGGTGGTAGTGCTCAGAGGGGTTGGGTGAGGTTGGTTCCAGGTGTCTGACTTGAACACTGTGAACCTGCTGGATTTATGACTGGCTGGTATAGGGGGAATAAGACTACTTTGAGCATGCATGAGTTTCTCATGGATGCTGCCACTAGTATAGATGCTGAGCATCTAGTGTGTTTAGCACTCTGCTAGTAGCTGTGATCCAGAAAATGTCCACTTGGCAAAAGAGAGAATAAGGTGAAAAATGGTAAGGGAATACGTTCTCTCAAGTGCAATTTGTTTTATTAGGTAGCAAGGATAACACCTGCAGAATATGGCGTTGACTGAGGGAATGTGTCAGGAGCAAGGTCTCTTGCAACAGTGATGAAGAACTCGAGCCTCTCAGCGAGCAAGCAAGCGATTTCTATTTTTCTTGATTTCTACATTTTCTCTTTTTTTCCCCTACAACTCAACCATTAAGCAATATCCATAAATCCACATACATAATTGTTAAGACTGATGAGGTTATGTCATTTCTGGATGTCATTTGACAGTGATGACAGAAAAGAGGGGGACAGCCATTGATCATTTCCTTTGTGTCTATGTTTCACACCTTCTTGATTGGATAAACAAAACCTGGAGTTATTTAGCAGTGTATTTCCTATTGTTATAATGTGTGTGGGGTAAAGTTTGTAGAGAAAATTCCTTATGAATTATACATCTATTTTATGTTGGAGGGTAATTTAAAGAAAAGAAATTGGTTCTTACTTACCATCAGATCTATTATGGATTGATATAAAGTCTGTTTCTATTGAATTTGACAGTTTTAACTCCTGCACAAAGATGACATCCTGCGTGTTTGCATTTTTTGTTGGATTTGTTTCATTAACATAATGACTTCTAGGCTCTTCCCTGCTCACAGAAATGTTTTTTTTAAAGCTGAGTAATATTCAATGGTCTATTTATCTGAATATCTGAGCTTCCATATCTATGTTATTAATTACTTTACTTTGCAGAAGCTTTTTAGCCTGATGTATGTAATTCCATTTGGTTAATTTTCCTTTTGCTCTGCTTTTAAAGGTTATAACCAAAAAAGTCATCATGAAGACCAGAGAAGTGCCACGAAGCTTTCCCTCTGTTTCTTCTGGGGCTTTTATGGTTTTGTATCTTAACATTCATATTTTCCATGCAATTTGAATTGATGTTTGTGTATAACTTACGATATTAAATACCTGCAACAACCAACTTATAATGAGGACACCTTTTATTTTCTCATGGCTTAAGTTTTAGTTTAAGATTGGTTGGGCCCCCTGCTTTTGAGTCTATGCTGATGGAGTCCATGATGGCAGAGCAAAGCCATCCTGGAGAAGGAGGGAGGGAGAAGGGAGGGATATCTATCTATCTATCTATCTATCTATCTATCTATCTATCTATCTAGGTCTAGATCTATAGAGATATAGATGTATAGATATAGCTGTAGGTCTAGATATGGATCAAGAGAGAGACAGAGACAGACAGAGAGAGAGAGAGAGAGCAAGGAAGAAATAAGGGAAGAATATTGATGTCCCACAAATCCTTTTTATTTTATTTTACTTTTTGTCAGTTATGGGGCTTGAACTCTGGACCTGGGCACTGTCCCTGAGCTCTTCAGCTCAAGTCAAGCACTCTACCACTTGAGCCACAGCACCACTTCCAGTTTTCTGGTGTTTAATTGATTATAAGAGTCTCGTGGACTTTCCTGCCTAGGCTGGCTTTGAACTGCCATCTTCAGATCTCAGCCTCTGTGACAGGGCCACAAACCCTTTTGAAGTTATTTCTCAATGACTTAAAACCTTCTACTTGACTCATCCCTCTCCAAGTGCCCACTGCCTCTCAATGGCGCCAAGCTGGCTCCATCCTTTTAAAGCTTGGGCCTTCAAGGGAGGTTCCTGATAGAAACTACATTGTGAGGATCTAGTCTTTTTTTTTTTTTTTTGCATGTAGATATTCAGTCTTTTCCATCACCATTTGCTGAAGAGACTATCCTTTCCCCATTGGCTAATTATTTTGAACTAAAGAAATAGACAAAGACTCTTGTCTAATCTAACTGTTTGGTGGCTATAGCAAAAGTAACCATACTATTTTAGCATACCATTCAGAAGTCAGCCAATGTATACTAGTAGAGCTCCTACATCCTCAACCAATTAAGGTGTAGGGAGGTTTTGGCAAGAAAATGGCTTCTTCATATAGTGGTTATATACTAATGAGCCCTCCTTCTCTTTCTCTCTCTCCCTTCCTTCCTTCCCTTCATCCTCCCTCCCTTCTCTCCCTTGCTCCCCTCCCTTGCTCCCCTCCCTCCCTCCCTCCTTCCTTCTTTCCCTTCTTCCTTCCTCCCTTCCTTCCTTCCTTCCCCTTCCTTCCTCCTTCCCTCCCTTCCTCCACCTTTCTCTTCCTTTCCTCCTTCCTTTCTCTCTTTCTTCCTCTCTCTCTTTCCTTTTAATACTGGAGTTTGAACTCAGACCTTTTCATTTGCAAGTCAGACAATATACCACTTGAGTCATACTTCTAGACATTTAAAAAGATGATTTTGATTTGTCCACAGCAAATCAAACCTACATTGCAATTTTACCTCACCCAGTCAGAATGACTATCACCCAGTCAGAATGACTATTAATGAGAAAACAAATGAGAGCAATTTCCCAGAAAAATATAGCAGAGCAACAATCATCGTTAACTGGTGGCAGGAATGTGAATTAAAATAACCTCTATGGACATCAGTATGAATTTTTCAAACAACTAAAAATTGAGGGAGCCAGTGGATAAGGGAAAGATGGGTGAGAATGTTGAAAGCGGTGACATTGATCAAGATAAATCATATTCATAAGCTGCTTTGTTAAATAGCAACTCCTTTGTACAACAACTTAAAGAATAATAAAATAGTTCTACTTTAAGATCCTGGTATATCACTCTTGGCTATTTCCCTGAAGGAATCAAAGGAAACATATAAAAGATATCTGCATGCACATGTTTACCCTAGGACTATTCACAAGCCCATGTATAGAAATGACAAAGTGTGTCCATCAGCAGATGAGTGGAAAAAACCATGTGGTATGCTCAACCATAAAGAATAAAAATATCCTAACATATTCAGGAAAATGGATGGAACAGGAGATCATTATGTTCAGAAAATTGGGCAGGCTATATTTTCACTCATATGTAAAATCCACGAAAATAAAAGGGGAATTTTTGGGGTGTCAAAGCAAAGGGTACCAGACCAGTGCAAAGGGGTAGAAAGGATAAGAAAGAGCAATATGGGCAAATGTAATCAAAGTTTATTATACACATACAAAACTTCCAACAAACCTCATTATTTTGTACACACACACACACACACACACACACACATACACACACACATACACACACACTCTAATTAAAAAAGTAAAAGAAAAAGTAAATTCCAGCCATCCCAAATGTGGTTACTCAATGTCATGACTTAAGGACCCTTCCACTCTCAGACTGAGGACACAGCTTTTAATCCAATCGTGTCTCATAGAGAACCTCAGTTATCCTGCAGTGTTTGTGGGGATTTGGGCCTCAGCACCCAACTTCAGATAGCAAAATCTAGATGCTCAAATCCCTTGTAATAAAATGACACAATTTTGACCTACAATTTGTGCACACTGTCCTGTATGCATTAAATCATCATTAAGTTATTTTACAATACCTAACAAAATATCAATGCTACAAAAATAGTTTTACACCAAACTACTTAGGGAATAATATCAAGAAAAAAGGTGTACATGTTCATCAGTTTTTAAAATCACACACACACACACACACACACACACACACACACACATATGGAACTTGAACTTGGGACCTGGATGCTATCCCTTAGTTTTTTTTGTTTTTGATTTTGTTGTTTGTTTTTGCTGAAGGTGGATGGTTAATTGGAAAGAAGAGTCTAACAGATTGCCTAAGCTTACTTTGAACTGGGATCCTCAGATCTCAGTCTTCTGAGTAGCAAGTATTAAAATAATATGTTGATTTCATGGTTGAAGAATTCCATCAGCATGGGGATCACTGTATTTACCATCTTCCCTCTTCCTTCTGCCTGGTCCAACAGTGTGATAGGGCTATTCCTGCTACAGGGAACCCTCAGTCATTGTTATCCATCACAAACACCTTCCTCAATAAAAAACTAAATCTTAGACATCCAGTCTTATTTGCATTCTTTTTAAGTTAAACAACTAGTTAACCAATCAACTTTTTGTGCCAGTCCTGGAACTTGAACTCAGTGTCTCATGCTGTTGCTTGGCATTTTCACTGAAAGCCGATGCTCTATCACTTGAACTACACCTCCCCTCTGGATTTGCAGTGGTGAGCTGGAGGTAACAATGAGACATACACGATACATGTTGAAAATGAACTTTACAACTTGAGGGGTGGGTGGAGGGAAGGAGTTGGGGAGGTGGGGAGGGAAGGGACAGTAGGGGAAAAAACCAAGGAGGGAGTAACAATGCTCAATAGGAAATGTACTCATTACCTTACTCATGTAACCGTAACCGCTATGTACAGTATCTTTACAATAAAAAATATGTTATAAAAAGAGCCTCTTGGATTTGATTGCTTGGGCTGGTTTCAAACTGTTATCCTCAGAGCTAAGCCTTCTGAGTAGCTAAGATTATAGGCCTCCAGCACCTGGCTACTATTATTTTGATCTTTAATCTATAATCTTGTTATTGTATAATCTATATCTTATTATCAGCCTGGTACTAGATGGTGAAACAGAAACAATTTAGTTAGTTGTGATGGCTTGTTTCTTCCTTTCCATATTATTTCTTCCTAAAAGTAAAAGCTCCAATATTTTCACATTATAGTTTATAGGATATTTGCATAAGCAAGTACATTTAGTAAGAAAAAATGAGGCAGGAATGATAAGGTCTTTTAGACATGATAACACCTTTAGAAGTCAGTATAACTTTGAGACTCTTACACCTCTTTACCATTTTCTTCTACCATCTCCTTTCCACCCCTTTCAGATACCTTGATGAATATTGAGCTAGCCATATTTGGAGGAAGTTTCTGAATTTTACACCAGGGAAAAATGTCCTGTTTTCTCTTAGTCCTAATTATCCCCCTCCTCCCTCCCTCCCTCCCTCCCTCCCTCCCTCATCCCTCCCTCCCTCCCTCCCTCCTTTCCTTCCTTCCTTCCTTCCTTCCTTCCTTCCTTCCTCCCTCCCTCCCTCCCTCCCTCCTTTCCTCCCTCTTCCCTCCCTCTTCCCTCCCTCCCTCTCTCCCTCCCTCCCTCTCTCCCTTCCTTCCTTCCTTCCTTCCTTCCTTCCTTCCTTCCTTCCTTCCT